AAATGGTCTACTCCTGTTCCAATTTCTTATGTTCTTATCTCACATCAGGTCACTTATCAGGATGCCATGATGGTGAAGGTGAGTCTCACACATCAGTGTTGGATTCACCCTGTAGAGGGCTGAGGGCCCCACTATTCCTGTATGAGTGGTAGTGATATGTGTTCAGACTTTGTAATAATTAAAGCTCTTCAAGGGATTTGAGCAAAAAAAAACAGTACAGCACAGGAACAGGCCCTTCAGCCCAAGACTGCAACGACACATGATGCCTTTCTAAACTAAACACCTTTTGCCTCTACGCGGTCCATATCCTTCTATTCCCTGTCTATCCATATATCTGTCAAGATGCATCTTAAACTTTACAATTACATCCACTTCCACCACATCTTCCAGCAGCATATTCAATGCATTTACCACCATCTGTGTAAACAAAACCTGCCTCTCACATCAGTAACTGATAGTGGCACAGTGGCTAGCACTGCCAATTCACAGTATAAGGGACAAGGGTTTGATTCCACTGTTGGGGGATTGTCTGCGTGGAGTTTACACATTCTCCCCATGTCTGCGTGGGTTTCCTCTGGTTTCCTCCCACAGTCCAAAGATGTCCAAGTTAGGTAGATTAGCCATGCTAAATTGCTCATAGTGTCCAGAGATATGCAGGGTAGATGGATTAGCCATGGGAAATGCAGAATTATAGGGATAGGGTGGGGGTCTGGGTGGGATGTTCTTTGGAAGGTCACCGTGGACTCGATGGGCCAAATGGTCTGCTTCCGTACTATAGGAATTCTATGATCTCTTTAAACTTACCCCCTTTTACCTTAAACCTATGTCCCCTAGAAATTGATATTTCTACCCTGGCAAAAAGTCTCTGACTGACCATTCTATCCATGCCACTCAATCTTATAAAGTTGTACCAGGTCGCCTTTTATCCTTTGACGTTCAAGGGTAAACAAACCAAATTTGTCTAATCTCTGCTCATAGCTAATGTGCTCCAAACCAGACAAAACCCTGGTAAACTGGTTCTGTACCCTCTCCAAAGTCTCTACATCCTTTTGGTAGAGTGGCAGCCAGAACTGTGCACAATATTTTAAATGTGGCTTAACAAAAGTTCTAAACAGTTGCAACATGACTTGCCAATTTTTATACTCTATGCCTTGACAGATGAAGGCAAGCATGCCAATATGCCCTGACCACCCCTAACTACTTACATTGCCACTTTCAGGGAACTGTGGACCTGTACACTTAGATCTCTCTATATGTTGATGCTATTAAGGATTCTGCCATTTACCGTATACTTCTGTCCTGCTTTAGATCTTTATTTGTCTGGATTAAACCCCATCTGCCATTTCTCTGCCCAAGTCTCTAGCCTATTTATGTTCTGCTCTATCCTCTGGCAAAGCTCCTTACTATCCACAGCTCTCCCAATCTTTGTATCATTCTCAAACTTACTAATCAGGCCACCTACATTCTCTTCCAAATCATTTTTAAATATTACAAACAACAAGGATCCCAGTAAATATCTCTGCAGAACACCTCTGGTTAGAGATCTCCAATCTGGAAAACACTCTTCCACCACTACGCTCTGTCTTCTATGACCAACCAGTTCTGTATCCATCTAACCAGCTCACCATAGAGCCCATCTGACTTCATGTTCTGTATCAGTCTGTCATGAGAGACCTTGTCAACGACCTTGCTAAAGTCCATATAGGCAACATCTACAATCCTGCTCTCATCATTCTTTGTCACTTCCTCAAAGAACTCAATCAAGTTTGACAGACACAATCTTGCCCACACAAAGCCATGCTGCCCATTGCTAATAACTTCTCCGAATATCAGTAAGTCCTAAGAATCTTCTCCAATAACTTCCCTACCACTGACATAAGGCTCACCACCCTGTAAGTTCCTGGACAATCCCTGTTGCCCTTCTTAAACAAATGACCAACTTTGGCTATTCTCCAATCCTCGGAGAGCTCTCCTATGGCTAAAGAATTCACATGTCTTGATATGGAATAAAGGAGAGGCCATAGGCCGGCCTCCTCAGTTCAGTGTACAGTCAGAGGGAAGTTGTGAGGGTTTGCAGGGTTGAGGTCTGAGAGTGGGGACTGACACCTGAGCAAGGCTGCTGTGCTCACTTGCTGTAAGCTGCTAAATGTCCATTTGGTTAAGTGCAGGTATTTGAAGGATGGAAGCAGCAAAAGGTTGTTCCAGTGAAGTCTTCAAAGGTAGGTCTTCAAGGAAAGCATATAAAGCCAGCAACATATCTTAGAATGGGTTGGGAGGATTCTATGGAACTGTTCTTAATATGAACTCTCACAGGGAAATAACGTATCAGCTGTCAGTTATATTAACAGAAGTATGTACTCACAAGTAAAAGTTTTTAACTGCCTGTTTAAGCACTGAAAGTCATCTCTTGACCATTTATCAGCATTCACAATCACTTCCTGAAAACTCTCCCATTCAGCAAAGTAATAAAAGAATATCGCTGTAGGCAGGCCTTATAAAAAGCCCGGAACTAGATGATTCACCTCCCCTCCTGATATAGTTTGTACCACAGATTGAAACTTCACCCTCCTTCAGCAGACCATGATTGCAATTCTAGCCTGTCTCCAACTCTACCAGTGAAAATATGGTGTGCAGGCATGGCCATCCAAGAGGTAGAATCACAACATTGAGAAATTGTCTGATTCCTGACTGCCATTTCAAAGCAAATTATCCAGCCCCTTGGAAAAGCATGAAGGTAAGTTTCAGAGTTTGACAGAAAGATGGAATATGAGACAGTGCATAAATAAAGTATGAGTGTAAGGTAAGTTGAGCAAGTTAAGGTGTGAGAAATGATATGCCATAGTAAGCTTCAGAAGCAGATTCAAGGAATTTGGTCGATATACATCAGAATGTTATGAATTGTTCTCAATTTTCCTCCCCTACTTAGGTCGTTGAACTGCTTCCTGCATTGTGTCCAGAATTGTCTTCTTAATTCCATTGCTAGGAAACAGAACATCTTTCCATGTCTTGAAAGCTCCCAGTACCATATCCAGGGAAGCAACTCTGAAATGAGGGGCAATCTTTCATTGTCTGGATTCCATTCTGGCACTTGCTTTTCTTTGCCTCTCAACTCCAAATTCTTTTAAATTGCACGTTCAGAATGTCCACTTAAATGCTGGAGTTGAAATCATGTCACTCAACAGATCTACAGACACAAATTGGTCAAGAACCCCAGAAATCATTTGAGTGGGTTAAAACACCAGCAAAAGTTATGGTGCACTTATGTCTGGGTTTCCCATATGCTAGCAGTTTCCCTACTTCCAATGCACCTCAACTTAAAATTCAGCTCAGAGTCTAAAGACAGTAAAATAGTTTAGATGAGGAATGGACAGCAGATGATAAACTATGTAAATGGAAATCAAATGATATGGCAACAGGACTGGACAATGACACTTCTGAGTGGAATTTAAGTTAACACCAAGTTATGGCAAAAGGCATTCAAAGATCTCAATGTTCCTATCATGAAAGAGATCTTCTAACAAAACACCAAAGTCATAGTACAAGGCAAAATCTTCCTTTTAAAAAAAAATGTTCTGACAAGGATAGCGGCAGTCCAATGTAGTTTCATGTGGTAGATATCAGTGAGAAACACTCAAAAATGCAAAATATAGTGCAACTCCAGAATCTCTACAGACACCCACAAAATTCAGAAGACTCCTGACACAACTCAAGAAGTATAAAGAAGGTTGAGGAGATTTTTCTTGGTTTGGGTACAGGCATGCTCGATCACTAAGGCACAGCAAATATCAAAAAATAGGGGAAGCCGATGTATAAACCTGAAAATGGTACCCATCCCATTTTCTTCCCAAAGAATCTAGTCATTAGCCCTAGAAGGCATTCTTGCCCCTGATATACTTGTTAGTTGTCCTAATGGAGGATTAAAATATTTATAGAAGCAAATTTTAAATAAAATATGAAATCTCAAAGTATTCTTTAATAGTGTGGGGCTGGTGGTTATTGGAACACCATGAGTAGTTGATTTGGGACTAGAGCAGACCAAGAGGCAGAAGGAGAAAGTTAAAGGTGGAAAATCAATTCTTCAAAATGTCTAGGATTGTGATGTTCAGTGCTTGAAGGCAAACCTCCATGGCGGATTTGAGTCATCAAACCATCAGGGAAAAGAGGCACAATCCAGTTGCTCTGCATAATAACTAGGTGCAGTGAATGGCGATAACTAGAATTGGATGTATGGCATTCAGGCATGGGAAGAGAGCAGAGAGAAACAAAGCTAAATATTTATTTATATAAATATTTTAAATAAGTTTCCCCGATACTTGAGGAACTCTTTTAACAAATTCTAAAATATCGTGGGCAATGCAATATTTACCTAAGCAAAGTTTTAAAGACTTTGAAACCCACACTACCGCACCATGTGCTGAATATGCTTAAGAACTTTAACTTAGTTCTGACAAAATGATTAGGAAAACAACTTCTTGTGTTCCAATGAGGGATTATATCACATGAAACTTCAAGCTAGATCAATTGTCATAGCATGGAAATTGTTCCCTGGAGAGGAGTGGCAATTGCAATTAGAAGACACCAAAATAAGATGTGGATAAGCACACCATGTGGTGTCTATGAGGATCATTTACCCCTGATATGCCAGGTTACTTAAAACTTTAGGGAAACAGAAGAGGTTAGCAAAAAACCTGTGCCAGCTCCACTTCAGATCTGAGAATGGCAAGCAGCAAGTCAAAGACAGGGCCTCATGCAGCGGCTGTGTTTCCAATAAAATTTAGAGATGCAAAGCCCCCTCAGGAGCAACTTGAGCCAGGAATGAGGAAGGGAAGTGATGATCTGAACTAGAATTAAAAGGAAGTTTAGGTCATTGTAGATAAATCACAAATCCACTGCATCCTGTATGCCTGGTGTCAAATAGAGGCAAAGGAACTGACCTTACAATACTTAAATTGGCAAGATAATCAAACTTAACACGACTTATTCATTTGAGTATTACTTACCTGTCCCACAAATATGTTGCCTGCTGCCACCAATGACTCTGTGGGAGATGTATCCATGGAAATTTGCATTATCCAGCCAATCTGAAAAATGGAAAACAATCTAAAATATTTCCTAGACTTGGTACAAAGGAATGTAATCATCTTTGTTTTTTATTTCCTTGTGTGACATGAGTGACACTAGCTGGTCACCATTTTTACCCATGTCTAGCTGTCCTTGAGGAGGTGGTGGTGAGGTGCCTTCTTGAACTGCTGAAATCCACATGATGTAGGTTGATCCACAATGCTGTTAGGGAGGAAGCTCCAGGATTTTGACCGAACGACAGTGAAAGAACGGCAATATTATTCAAAGGCAGGATGGTGAGCGACTTGGAGGGACATGTGCAGGTAGTGGTGTTCCCAGGTATCTGCTGCACTAGTCCTTCTAGATGGAAATGGATATGGGTTTGGAAGGCGGTATCTAAGGATCTTTGGTAAATTTCTGCATCTTGTAGGCAGTACACCCTGCTGCTACTGAGCTTCGTTGGTGGAGGGCGTGAATACTTGTGGTTGTGGTGCCAATCAAGTTGGCTGTTTTATGCTGAATGATGTCAAGCTTCTTGGGTGTTGTTGGACCTGCACCTATCCAGGCAAGTGGGGAGTATTCTACCAGAATCTTAACTTGTGACAGTGGAAAAGCTTTGGGGAGTCAGGAGCTGAGTTAGTCACTGCACTATTACAAGCTTCTGAAAAGCTCTTGTACCTATTGTGATTATGGGGCAAGTCCAGTTGAGCTTCTGGTTAATGGTAACCCCCAGGATGTTGATTGTCAGAGATTCAGTGATGGTAACACCATTGAATGTCAAGGGCTGGTGGTCAGACCATGTATCAGACCAAGGCTGGATATTGTCCAGATCTTGTTGCTTTTGAACATGGACTGCTTCGGTATCTGAGGAGTTGTGAATGGTGCTGAAAGTTGTGCAGTCATTGGCAAACATCCCCACTTCTGACTTTATGATGGAGGGAAGGTCATTGATCAAGTAGCTGGAGATGTTTGAGCCTAGGACACTACCCTGAGGAACTCCTGGAGTTGAGATGACTGACCTACAACAACTACAACCATCTTCCTAGGTGCCAAATATGACTCCAACCAGCAGACAGTTTGCTACCTGACACATTGTTTCTAGTTTTTCTAGGGCTCCTGGATGCCGCACTTGTGAAGTGGTATTACTCTCACCTCACCTCTGGCATTCAGTTCTTTTGTCCATGTTTGTACCAAGGCTGTAACAAGGTCAGGAACTGAGTGGTCCTGGCAGAAGCCAAACAGGGCAACAGTGAGCAGATTATTGCTAAGCAGGTGCTACTTGATAGCACTGTCGATGATACTTTCCATCTCTTTGCTGAGGATTGAGAGTAGAACGATGGGTCAGTAATCAGCCAGGTTGAATTTGTCCTGCTTTTAGCATACAGGACATAACTGGGCAATTTTCCACATTGTTGGATAGATACCAGTGTTGTAACTGAACTGGAAGAGCTTGGCGAGGGGAGCGGCAAGTTCTGGAGTATGAGTCTTCAGCACAATTGCCAGAAAGTTGTTGTGGCCCACTGGCTTTGCAGTAACCAGTGCCTCCAACCATTTCTTGATATCACATGCAGTGAATGGAACTGTCTCAAGACTGGTATCTGAGATGCTGGTGACCAGTGGGTAAGGTCAAGATGGATCATCCACTCGCCACTCCTGGCTGAAGATTGCTGCAAATGCTTCAACCTTATTATTTTGCACTGATGTGCTGGGCTCTTCCATCATCAAGGAGGAGGATATTTGTGCAGCAGCTTCCTCAGTGAGTTGTTTAATTGTCCACCACCATTCATAACTGAATGTAGCAGGAATGCAGAGCTTAGATCTGATCCATTGATTGTGGAATTACTTAGCTTTGTCTATGTCTTACTGCTATGCTGTTTCACACGCAAGTAGTCATGTTTGGTATCTTCACCAGGTTGACAGTTCAGTTTTAGTATGCCTGGTGCTGCTCCTGGCATGTCATCCTGCACTCTCCATTGAACTTAGGTGGACCTCCTGGCTTGATGGCAACGGTTGAGTGGGGGATATGCTCAAAATGAGGTTGCAGGTTCTGCTGCTGTTGATTGCTCAGAGTGTCTCATGGATGCCCAGTCTTGAGTAGCTAGATCTGTATGATGTCTTTCCAATTTAGCATGGTGACAGTGCCACACAACACGATGGAGGGTATTCTCAATGTGAAGGGGAACTTCAGCTCCACAAGGACTGTGAGATGGTCATTCTTGCCAGTATTGTCATGGACAGATGCCACTGCAGCAGGCAGATTGGTAAGGATGAGATCAAGCATGTTTTCCCCTCTTGTTGATTCCCACATCACCTACTACAGACACAGTCTAGCAGCTATGTCGTTTAGGACCTGACCAGCTCAACCAGTAGTGCTGCTGCTGAGTCATTCTTGATGCTGGATATTGAACTCCCCCATCCAGAGTACATTTTGCATCCTTGTCACCCTCAGTGCTTCTTCCAAGTGTTCAATATGGTAAGCAGCAGGAGATTTGCATGCCCGTGTCTAACCTTAAGCCACGAGACCTCATGGGGTCCTGAGTCAATGTTGAAGATTGACAGGGCAACACCCCTCTGACGGTATACTATTATGCCACCACATCTGTTGTGTCCGACCTGCTGGTGAGACAGGACATATCCAGGGATGGTAACTTTGGTTCTGGGACTTTGTACAGTATGATTCCATGAGTATTACTATGTCAGGGTGTTTGCTTGATTAGTCTGTGAGACAGCTCTCCCAATTTTGGCACTAGCCCCCAGTCTGTAAGGAGGAATTTTCAGGATCAACATGGCTGTTTTTGCTGCTGAATTTTGTAATGCCCAGCTTGATGCCAGATGAGCTGTCTGGTTTCATTTCTTTGTTGAGACTTTGTAGTGACTGATACAACAGAGTGGCTTGCTAAGCCATTTCAAAGGGTAGCTGACAGTCAATCATAGTGCTGTGGGGCTGCAGTTGCATGTAGGCCAGACCAGGTGTGGATAAGAGATTTCCTTCCTGAGCCGGATGGGGTTTTCTGACAATCAACAATGGTTTCATGGTCATAAGATTCTTAATTCCAGATAGTTTTTATTGAATTCAAATTCCACCATCTCCCTGGTGAGATTCAAACCAGGATCGCCAGAACTTTAGCTGAGTTTCAGGATTAATAGCCTAGTGATAGTACCACTAGGCTATCACCTGCTCAATAATGCTATTTAAAAAATTATATTATTTGGTAGAGCTTTTTGGTTACTACGAGAGAGATTTTAGATGTTAAGTTCATGTTGATCTGATATGAATGTCAGAGTTAAAAACAAAAATTATTTTACCATTTGATAGACTATATGTGATATACATAATAGAGATAACTGTGCACATTGAAGCAACACTCCCTCAGTCAAGATTCAGTTACATTCTAGTTTTCATCTATGATGGTCTCCAATATGTGATTGTTAAAAGTGAACTTCAAATCAATTAACAAACAAACCAACAACAAACAATCTGATCGGAAAACAATGAGACCAAAGTGTATCCATAGCCTTAAAAAAATGGAAGTGTCACAAAGATTTGGCAATTACAAGACAGGCAATAGCACATAACTGTCATTGCGGCTGATGTCCTCACCATGGATTATCTTTATCAGAATCAGTCAGAAGTTAAAGCGAATTCTGAACAGCTCCTTTTTATTGTGCTGTTGAAAAGAGTGGTCTAGTCATCTCTTTGACAGCATTTTCATTCAGTACAATTAGAACAGGATATGATTAAGGTGTAGCTCATTTCATATTTTTGCATGGTGCCTTTCTGTGATGTACCTTCCACATAAAAGTTGATGTCTGAATGTAGCAATAAAGATCTTTTTGAAATTTGAGTGGCATGGTGACCTTACAGCACTAGGCACCCAGGTTCAATTCCACCCTAGGGCGACTGTCTATGTAGAATTTGCACATTCTTCCCATGTCTGCGTGGATTTCCTCCAGGTGCTCTGGTTTCCTCCCACAGTCCAACAATGTGCAGATTAGGTGGATTAGCCATGGGAAATGTAGGGTTACAGGGATGGGGCAGGAGGTCTGGTTGGGATGTGCTTAGGAGGGTCAGTGTGGACTCGAAGGCTGAATGGCCTGCTTCCACACTGTAGAGATTCTATGATTCAATGATCTGAGATAAAGGAAACTGTCAGAAAGATGATCCATAATAATTCCCAACTAATGACCATAAAATAGATAAACGGTATCTCAATCACTCAGGTAAAACATGTGATTTGCTTTTAGTTCCTCCTTTAACATGATAAAATTATTTAAGGGAAATTTTGATTGCACAATTTATGTTACGCTTCCAAAGAGGATTCTTTTATCATAGAAGGCTTTTAGAACAAAAAAAAATCATTTTTAATTTGTTTAAGGCCAGTGGAGGACTACAGGTAATTAATGATCCATAATGCAGAGTATGTCATATAGTTTTCGTAAACTTACCATTGGCATTTACTTTTTAACTATTGTTATCATGAGGATAATGAAGAATTGAATATAATTCCTCCATTTGTTCAATCACTTAAATTATAATCTTCTTTGTCACAGTACTGAATAGCTGTATTGTGAAACATAATCATATCAAAGCTTAAGTTCAAAGTTTGCAAAGGATTGAAATATAGTGATGTAGTGGTATCTAGATTCTGTTTGAAGATTGTAGAAAGGCAGAAAACTGGCGTGTGATTTGGTGGAGGGGACAAACCTTCCGGCACATTTCATGCAATAACTTGAATAAGACCATGAGATCCAGGTGCAAAGGAGAGAAAAAGGTATAAAGATTTCAGGCACAAGGTCTTCTTTACATTTGTCAGGTATCCTCAAGATGTGGTAGTGTGCTTACATCTGAAGATGGCATATGCAAAAGAAACCATAAAGTGAAAAAGCTTTAACAAAATGTTTCAACTCATTTCCTTATTTGTAAAAAAATGCACTAAACTGTAAGCCACAAGGTCTAGCAGATATATCGAAAACCTCCATTATGGTTCTTCCCATGTTGAGATTATCTACACTGATAAATGACCTGCCATCAGCCCACCCTAATGCATAGGAGTCTAGTGTGGGTAAATTGCCAAATTTTAAAATTATTAAAGAATGTATTAATTTGCATACCTTCAAAATGAGCCATTGTACAAATCCAAGAAAATACAATATGGAAATTGTTGTGCTGAAGAAAATCACTATTGGTAAAACCTAATGAAAAAATAAAGGAAAGTGCATTTGGTACATTACACTTTGGCTACATTAAACTTTAACTATGTAAATTAGCAACTAATTAATTAAATAAATAATGCTAGGCAGACATGGTAAGGATTCTGGTGCATCATGAACGCAGCATGTGGGAATCTGTGGAATGCACTGCAATTCTTTAGAACCATACCTGCAGCTTGTGCAACTTCAGCTCAGAGCAGCTGATCTGGAATCTTAGTTGAAAACATTAAGGGACATCATGAAGGGGTGAGCTTCCTGGATGCTTTGTGCCAGCAGGCAAACACAATCCTTAGGTCATGGAGAACTTTGAACCTGGTCAATAGTCAAGGACAGCAGGCTATATTGTGAATCAGACAGGTATGGGGATATAGTATGTAGTGAGGAAGTGATTTACAAATCCAAAGGATAAGGTTGAGGCCACTGAACTGTTTCGTAATGTGGGTGAAGCCAAACAGAGTAAGATAGGAAGCAACACAGAGATTAACATAAATTGTGCATCAACAAATAAGGTCATTGCAGGGAACAAAAGTTTTAAAAAAACTTAAAGATTTCTTAGTTGAATGCATGAAGCATCTACAATACGAAAGATGAACTTGTGGAACAAATAAAATCACTCTTAGAGTTATGGTTCAAAGTGATCCTGATTGGGAGATAAATATTCCATAGTGTCCAATATCTCAGAAAGAGATACAGAAGGGCAAAGAAGGAGGTGTAGCCCTAATAGTAAAGAATGACATAAGGACGTTAATGAGAAAAGATTTGGTGTTAGAGATCATGAAGCAGTATCAGTATTAGTGGAAATTAGGAATAGAAAGAATCAGAAAACACTGTGCAGCAGGGAGTAGTTTATGGACCCCTGACAATAGTTTTACCATTGGCCAGAGCATTAACTAAGAAATTATTGGATTATGCAACAAAGGTAATGTTCTAATTATGGAAGAATTTAATCTTAATAAACACAGAATGAAAAAAATTAGCAAGTATGATCAGAAAATGAGTTTGTAGAAAGTGTTTACGTCAGTTTCCTGGAGCAACGTGTCCTAGAACTGACAAGGGATAAAGCTGTCGTAGATCTCAATTATATCATGAGGCAGGGTTGATTGAAAATGTCATAGTAAGAGATTCGCTAGAATATAGTGATCATTACATATTATGCTCAAAAGTGGCATAGTGCAATTGTAAATAATAACAAGAACACTGCCCAAGGATTCCCCATTACTGTCTACCACAAGGCTACCTTCACTGATGAATATGTGCAGGGACCCCTATAGTTCTACATGCCATAAGATTGGTTTTATGGCCCATTTTATAAACAGGTCCTGAGTCAACTGCACACTATGCAAGCATGATGCTAAAATAAGGCACATTAAAAAATCCATCCTGTGAGACAACGGCTTCCTGAATTCAAACAAATCTCGCTGTATATCATGCAAACTCTTGAACGGGCTTAATACTACTACTTTAGGTCCTGAAAAGTGCCCAGTCTAATTTGGATGGAATACTAAAGTACCTCAAAAGTGCAACCAAGAGGCAAAGCTAGCTGTTTCACATTACTACTACGCACAAGCAACATGAGTAGTGTTTGCCACTAACAGAAAGCTGCCAGCAAGCCAAAAAGATAAATCAGTAATGTGATATATAAATTTCAGTGTCAGGATGAATATAGGCTGCACTACTCAAAGACTAGCAGATTGTATCATACAGAATGTCCCTTCAGCTATTCTCAAAAAGCAAGGTACTGGCCACACCTAATCTGCCCATTTGAGCAAAACACAAAACACAGTGTCCAACATGAGATGTGATTCCATGAATTTGATAAATAAGTTTTGAGTGTGTTCAGAATTACACTGACAATGAAGGTAAGATTACCAGTCGGACTTGTAGCATGGCTTGTTTGTGCACATGGAGCTATATACTGCAGGACACAGGGCCAAGTTCTGGAAACAGAAAGAATGTGTACTGACATTGTGCTTGCTTCAACGTAACAAAATAGGGAACAGGCATTCTCAGGACAACGTCTTGACAAATCACAGCCAGTCTGCCTGGTTTGAATTTAAACGAGTTTGGTAGTTACCTGTCAGTAATCATCTAACTGTTGCATTCTCCGATGCAACATCTCTACCAATTGAGTCTACTTGCCAACCAATAATCACTATCTTCTCATACAGAAAAATGTTTTCTCCCTTTTACATTAGTATTTCTGATAATGTGCTAAAGCATACAGAGGCTTCAACAAAATATGTCTTTTATCAGCAATACTCAAGATCTATGCTATCAAACAACTATAAACAAGAATATTTAACTCAAACATTAGCAAATAAAAAATGAAGTCAAAACTTTTCATCGTGCATTAAATCAGGACTGCCATGCAAGAAACCAAACTTGGAAAGACAATGTATCAATTTATAGCATAAGAAGAAAGTGCAGATTGGTTGCACTTGTAGTGTTTAAGTGCTGCCCTGAAAAACAATAAATATTTAATGTAAACATACTAAATTATATAAGTAAAAGGGTTGCACTGGACTAGGAATTATTGGGTGAATAGATTAACAGGTATTGTGGAAAATAAACTGCAGGAAACATTTAAAGAAACAATACAAAATGTTCCAAAAATTTCACGGAGAAACAAAAACTCAGCAAGAAGGAAACCATCTGTGGTCCCCTCAGGAGGTTAAGAATAGTATTTAGTTAAAAGAAGAAACTTATAATTTTGCAAAGAATGGTACAAAAATCTAAGAGTCCGGAATATTTTAGAAACCAGCAGAGAGCCACCAAAAAAGTTGAATAGAACAAAAAAAACAGAATGAGAGTGAATTAGCTAAAAGTATAAAAAAGTACATTGTAAGATCTCATAGAAGTATATAACAGCAAAGAGAGAAACGTTGATCCGCTATAAAAAGAGGTAGGAAAAATTATCACAGGGAATGAGAAAATGGTGAGATGTTGAACAAATGTTTCATGTCTTTCTTCACAGTAGAAGACACAGATTACATAACAGAAATAAAAGACACAGTCAAATATCAAAAAGAGTAAGGAACATAAGTAATAGCAGCAAAGAAAAAAAAATTAGAGAATCCTAACAGACTAAAAACTTAAGCGACTTACGAGACTGAAAACCTGAAAGAAATTAGTGTTGAAAAACAGGCAGTATACAAAAAAGTTGAAGGCTGATAAATCCCTGGACCAAAAGAACTATATCCAACAGTGCTCAAGGAGCTGGTTACGGAGATAGTGAATTTGTTGGTGGTTATTTTTCAACCTTCTATTCATGCTAAAAAGTTTCCTGCTAAATGTTAATTCACAAATGTAACACCACTACTTAATAAGGGAAGGACAAGGAGTATGAAGAACTACAATATTTTAGTTTAATGTCAGTAATGGGGAAAATAAAAACATTATAAAGGATGTAATAAGTGAATGTGGGATTAGGGTAATAAACTTGCTTGGATTGAGAAATAGTTATGAGACAGAAAGTCAAGAGTAAGAATAAGTTTGTTCCAGCTCCTTCAACACTCTGGGATGTAGTTCATTTGGTTTAGAGGGTTTATGAACCTACAACCCAATTCAATTTTGAGTACTGAATCTTTATTAATACTAATTTATTTCAGTTTCTCAATTTGACAAGTCCATTGATTGCTGAGTATTTCTGGCAGATATTCAATTTCACCTACCAAACCAAACATAAAGTATTGTAAATGCATTCTGAAGAAGAGACATATCAGACCCAAAACGTTAACCCTGTTTCCATCTACACAGATACTGCCAAACCTGCTGAGCTTCTTCAGCATTTCCTTTTTATTTCAGATCTCTAGTATCCACTGTAGAGTCAGAGTTCTCCCACAGAAACAGACCCTTTGGTCCAACTTATCCATGGCGACCAGACATCCCATTCTGGCCTAATCCCATTTGCCAGCATTTGGTCCATATCCCTCTAAACCCTTCCTATTCATTTACCAATCCAGATGTCTAATAAATGTTGTAACTGTGCTTGGTTCCACCACTTCTGGCAGCTTGTTCCATACATGCACTACCCTCTGCATGAAAAAGCTACCCCTCAGATCCCTTTTAAATCTTCCCTTCTCACTTTAAACCTATGTCCTCAAGTTTTAGATGCCCTCACCCTCAGAAAAAGATCTTGGCTATTCACCCTATCAATGCCCCTCTCCATTTTATAAACCTCCACAAGGTCACCCCTCAGCCTCCAAGGCTCCAGGGAAAAAAGCCTCAGCCTATTCAGCCTCTCCCTATAACTCAAATTCAAGTCCCAGCAACATCCTTATATATCTTTTCTGCACCCTCTCAAGTTTAACATCTTTCCTATAGAAAGGTGAACAGAATTGTATGCAGTATTTTAATGGAGATCTCACCAATGCTCTGTACAGCCGCAACATGACACCCCATCTCCTATACTCAATGTTCTGACCGATGAAAGTAAGCATGCCAAATGCCTTCTTCACCACCCTGTCACTCATGACTCTACTTTCAAGGAACAATGGACATGCACCCCCTAGGTCTCTTTGTTCAGCAACAATTCCCAGGGCCCTTTATTATAGTAGAAATAAACAGGTGGTTTTGAGGATAACATGCAGTCACTAATGGGGTACTACAATGATCAACACTAGGTTCACAGCTGTTCACAATCTATATAGATGATTTGAAAATGAGCACCAGTTGTAATATTTCCCAATTATTAATGACACAACGTTGGGTGGGAATGTAAGTTGCGAGAAGGTTGCAAGGAGATGTCAATGGTGAAATGGAGTTCACCAGACATATCCTAGGGATTGTTGAATTGTCTAAGGGAGAGAAACTGAGAAAACTGGACCTGTTTGAAGCTTATAAAGTTTACACAGATTTTGAAAAGGTTACATAGATAACCTGTTTCTCCTTGCTGGTGAATCGAGAACCAAGCAATATAATCTCAGATTATTATCATTAAAGTGCAGAACAACAAAGACAAGGAGGAATTTCTTCACTGAGGATGGTAAATCTTTGTAATTCTCTACCTCAGAACTTGTGGAAGCTCAATCGTTGAGCATGTTAATAAAGACAGAAATCATCAAGGGATGGAGGGCTTGTGAGGGAAAGTAGATCAAGGTGAATACTTAGCCATGATTTATATGAATAGTGGAGCAGGCTTACTAGGCTCAATAGCCCACTCCTATTTCTATGTTCCTATTAAAGTGATGAATGTGGAAGAGGCTTAACAGGCCATGTGGTCTACTGCTCTCACTTACTGTGTTCTTTTGGCCTTCTAGAATGTTAGCATTTAAACTGTATCATCATGTACATTATGAGGCATCATAAAATCCAAGATATATATTAAACTGACCTTAAATGCAAAAAAGTGGTCCGTGTATGTTGCACCAAATAAAAATTTTGAACCAGCGTCTGCATAGTTTAAGAAAATCTGTAAAATAATAATAAAGTTGTATAATGGTTTGTTTATAAGCTTTAAATAATCAAGCCTCACAATAAAATAAAAGTAAAGCATATTTACTACAGATGGCATTATTAAAACTGTTTTGGAGAACACCACCATAACCAATGAACACTTAGAAACTTCTTTGTTTGCTTACAAATGCATTGTGTAAATCAACAAAACTTTGCAGTTATGTAGCGGCTTTATTGTTGGGAATGTTTGAAGTTGCTTCACAGAGGGAATCAAAATTTGGATAGTGAACCAAAGAAATATTACAGAAAGATGAACAAAAGCTTGCTAAAAAATTTAGGGATGGTTTTATTCATTCATTGCGTTGGGCATCACTTGTTGAGCAGTACTTATTCCCCATCCCTAATTGCCCTCAAAAAACTCATGATGAACTAACTTCTTGAATCACTACTGTCCATGTAGTGTAGATACATCTGTAGTGCTATTAGGGAGCGACTTCCAGGTTTTGATCCAACAGTGAAGGAACAGCAATATAGTTCAAAGTGAAGATGACTTGAGGTTTGGAGGGAAACATGCAAGTGATGGTGTTCCCATGTTTCTGCTGGCCTTGTACTTCTAGGTAGTAAGGCTTGTGGGTTTGGAAAATGCTACTGAAGGATCTTTAGTGAGTTGATACAGTGCATCTTCTAGATGGCATACACTTGTGCCACTGTTCATCAGTAGTGGAAGGACTGACTATTGAAGGTGAAAAACCAGGTGCAATCAAATGGGCTTTGTCTTGAATGGTGCTAAACTTTTTACGCGCTGGTGTATTGGCACCCATCCGGGTGCATGTGTCCATTATATCGTCATGACAAATCAGAGAGTGGCTACTGAGTGACTAGGCCTATCTGATACCTCACTGATGACTTTCGTGTACAACCCAAGTGCATGTGGGCAACATACATAAAGACAAAGTCATATTGTTTTACAAATGTGATCGGGAAGACGACTGAGGTGTTTAAGATTTCTTCTGTTCCCCGTGGAAAAACCATGCAGTGCTTTCCAGGGCTTATGTAAAGAATCACTGTACTCTGCTGCATAGCTTTTCTATCAAAAGGGCACAGGCCTGGTTATCAGGATATTGTTCCACCCGAGGAGGAGCAACAAAAGAAGGAGACACACAAGACATCCCTTTTCTGGTCAATTTGACTAAGATTGATTCATTTAACTCAAGTACCAGAGAATAAAACCTCCATCTCCACTTCCTGCCTGTCCTAGACTTTATTTTACCTTCCCTTCTCCATTAATGACAAACACAACATCCTTTTAGCCACAATGCTAAAAGCCTCAAAACAAATATTTCAAACCAACTTTGTAAATCAAACGATAAACCATTCAATACTTCATACAAAAGTCAACTTATCAACATACATACCTTCACTTGTCCTGATTTTCTAACATATAACTACAATAATACTGGCAGATGACTAATGCAAGGCTGCATTTTCACTGAGTGACAATACAGGTGACCTTGCAGTTTGACCTCAGCCAAATCTGGCCCCACATTTGGCTTTTGCTTCTACTAGTTTGGTATAAATACCAATGGTCTGGGCTGGCTGGTTGACAGGCAACAGCAAGCACACTTTTACTTGGAAGACAAATGCTGACATCAGGTCCTTGTCCCACTGCTATTTCCACAGATGGTGCTTCAGGAAATTAGAAGTGCACGTAAACAAAGGTAACACAGCAATGTTAATCTACATGTAGACTGGAATAATCTACTGATCACCAACGCTTTGTACAATGAATTTCTGGAATTTTTTTTCTATTCTCTTATGGGACATGGGTGTTGCTGGCTAGCCAGCATTTATTGTACATCCCTAGTTGCCCCAGAAAAGGTAGTAATAAGCTGCCTTCTTAAACCGTTGCAGTTCGTGGAATTCAGGGATTTTGACCAAAGAACACTAAAGTAACAGCTATATATTTCAAGTCAGGATGGTGAGTGACCTGGAGGGGGAACTTGCAGGTAGTGGTGTTCCCATGTTTCTGCCGGCCTTGTCCTGCTAAATAGAACTGGTCATTGATTTGGAATGTGTCTATGGAGTGGGGCAAATTTCTACGGTGCACCTTGTAAGTTGTACACACTGTTGCTACTGAGTGTCGTTCTGCAGTAGGTGGATGGTAGTGGATATGGTGCCAATCAAGCAGCTGCATTGTCTGGGGTAGTGTCAATCTTCTTGAGTACTATTGGCGCTGCATGCATCCATGCAAGTGGGGAGTATTCCATTACATTCATGACTTAGGTCTTGCAATGGCAGAAAGGCTTTGGGGAGTCAGGTGATGAGTTACTCACTAGAGTATTCCCCTTACTTGCTCTGTAACTATTGTACTTAAATGGTGAGTCCAGTTCAGTTTCTGGTCAATGGTAATCTCTATACTGTTAATATAGTGGGGGACTCAATGATGGTAATGCTACTGAATGTCAAGGGACAATGGGTTAGATTGTCTCGTATTAGAGATGGTCACTGCCTGGTATTTGTGTGAATCAAATGTTACTTGCCACTGTCAGCTGAAGCCTGGATATAAAACTAGGGTCTTAAATAGGTGAATAGCAAAGGTCCTTTCCCTAGAGTGTGGGAATTCAAAACTTGGGAGCATATTTTTAAAGTGAAAGGAGAAAGATTTAAAAGATACCTGACAGGCAACTCTTTCACACAAAGAGTGGATCGTAAATGGAATGAACTGCCAGAGGAAATGGTAGATACAGGTACAGTTACAATTCAATATTTAAAAGATATTTGGGTAAGTACATGGATAGGAAAGGTTTAGATGGAAAGGGCCAAACACAGGCCAGTAGCACTAGATTAGATTGGGAAATTTGGTTGGCATGGACTTGTTGGACGATTGGGTCTGTTTCCATGCTGTATGACTCTATAACTCTAAGTCTAAACGAAGGAACTAGGAAGGCATGAGAAGCAAGTTGGTTGTGGTTAATTGCAAAAATACATAATAAAGAATGATAGGTAATAGGTCTAATATTTAAAGGACAATGCAAGGATTATGACCAACATAGATTCATTTAAGGCCCAAAACTCAACAAGAATATGTAACTCAATTTTGAGTTAACTAAAAAAGTTAAAGATTGTATTAGATAACAAGATTAACATTGCCTAAAGAGTACTAAACCTGGAGATTGGAAATATTTCAGAATTCAGAAAAGGAGAACCAAGAACCCAATACAAAAAGAAAAATGGAACAGGAAAATAAACTTGAGGGGAGGCAATGACCTAATGGTATTTTCACTAGACTATTAATCCAGAGACCCAGGTAATATTCTGGGGATCAAATGATGACCATGAACCATTTTTGATTACCAGAAAAACACATGGTTCACCTAATGTCTTTTAGGGAAGGAAACTGCCATCCTTACCTGGTCTGGCCTACACTTAACTCCAGACCCACGAAATATCATTGACTCTTTACTACCTTATGAGCAATTAGAGATCAGTAATAAATGCTGGCTTAACCAGCAATACCCATATCCTGTGAATGAACAAACAAAAATAGCCGCAAAACCTCCTGAGACATGTAAAGGGGAAAAAAATTAACAAACTAAAAGGTGGGTCCAATATAGGCAAAGACTGGAGAATTTATAATATTAAACAGCAAAACGACAGAGAAACTAAATAATGACTTGGTATCTGCTTTCACAGAGGAAGATACAAGAAACTTCTAGAAATAATAGTAATCCGAGGGACTAATGAGAATGAGGAACAGAAAGAAATTAGTACTAATAAAAATGTAGTCTTGGAGAAATTAATAGCGCTGAAACACTGCAGATTCTTGGGACCTGATGATCTCCAATTCAGAGCATTGAAAGAAGTGGCTATCAAAATATTGGATGTATTCTTGGCAATGATTTAAAATAATATAGTTTCTGGAACTTGCCTGCAGACTGCAAAGCTTGCAGATGTAACCACACTACTTAAGGAAGGATGGAGACAGAAAATGGGGAAATTACAGACCTGTTAGCTTCATGTCACTAGCAGGCAAAACACTAGAAATTATTATAAAGGATGCGATAGTTAGACATTCAGAAATAATAATCTGATTGGCAAAATCATAATGGTTTATGAAAAGAAAATCATGTTTGGCAAACCAGTTAGAGGGTTTTAACAATATTACGAGTGGAATTGATAAGGACGAATCATTAGTTGTAGTGTATTTGAATTTTCAGAAGACTTTTGATAACATCTCACATAGGAGGTTAGTAAACAAAGTTTGCTGGGGTGGGCTTCGTATACTGGCACAGATTGAAGATTGGTAAACGTAAAGAAAGCAGACAGTAGGAATAAATGGGCCACTCTCCTGTGATAGCACCTTCCAAACTCTCAACTACACCATGTAGAAGGGCAAGAGCAACAAATACATGGAAGTACCATTCCTGCAAGACTCCCTCTCAGCCACTCACTATCCTGACTTGGAAATATATTGCTGTGCCTTCAGTGTCACTGCGTCAAAATTCTAGAACGCTCTTCCTAACTGCATCATGGGTCTACCTACACCAAATGAATTATAGCAGTTCATGAATGCAACTCACCAGAACCTTCTCAATGAAAGTTGGGAGGAGCAAAAAATGCTGGCCTGGCTAATGATGCCCACATCCCATGAGTGAATTAAAATAAAACTCTCAAGATGTCAGTGTGACTAGTCAAATACCATAATAATTAGTGCTTGGCCCCAGTTGTTCACAACCATATCAATTACTTGAATGTGGGAACCAAATGTAACATTTCCAAGTTTGTGGATGAAACAAAACACATAAGAATATAAGTTAGGAAGATGATGCATTCTGGGCCGCTTTGGGCCTCAAAGGAATGGTCATTCCCTCCAATCCTCAAGCACAAGCCAAAGTGTGTGGAAGAGAATATGAGTGCGACCCTTCAGAATGCCATAATCATCATAGGCCACAGTGGGCCCACTAACTCAGGCAACATCTTTGCAACAGGGTTCAGTATCAGAGATAACTCCTGCAATGCTGCTGGTCAGCAGCCTCTTGAGGTACCCTTCTGGCACGTTGACAATGAGATCAACCAACACATGAATTACAATCACAAGCAGAGACACATTGGCGGGCTAGCTCCACCTCAGGAGGGAGAGAGAAAGGGAGAGGGAGCCGGAGAGGGAGCGACATGGTGGAGCAATGTGGAGGTAGGGAGAGGTGGAAGGAGAGGGAAGGTATGAAGAAGAGGAAGGCAGGGGCATGTGAACATTGTGGGGAGAGTCGGCGGGAAGAGAGGAGTGGTAGAGAGGGGGAAGGAGAGGAGGGAGAGAAAGCAGGGAGAGAGATGGGGAGGGAGAGACAGAGGGAGAGTGGGGGAAAACAGGGAAAATGAGAGAAGGGTGGGTCTGTGTAACAGAGGAAAGGGGAACCACTTTTGCATTTCTCTACCATGTGTCTTCAATCCTTTTGCAATCTCACTCCCTGAGTCTGCAAAGTCTATCTTCCCCCCACATCCCTCTACACACAACGCAATCCCTTTCCTTCCAGCTGAACTTCATATCAATATTGTGCTTCATTGCTCTGGTGCAAAGTGCAGTCTTTATGTACGACATCAACAAAATGTGATGTGATGATGTCGAGGGTTGCGAGTTTCCAGATTAGCATGCATGCACAGTTGCAATTATGAGAAGACACTGCTTAAAAATAGTAGAGTTGCAGCAGCAGACCTTTAAGGAGGTATGTAATAATTCTCAATAATGATTTATCCCCGTGAGAAGGAAAGGCTCTTTGTGAAGAATGTATCTAAACTAAATAACAAAGTTAAGAACAATCATTTGGTAGTACAGAACTTCAGTATTGCTGAAAAAAGTCCCAATTAGTGGAAGATTCTCACCTTCCATGCATCAGGACTATGAAGTTTGAGCACAGATGAACAGTTTCAGAGTCCTACTATGCTGTAGAAACACAAGTGCTCTCATTACTAAGAGGATGCTGCCATCAATCTAAATAAATCTTCTGCCTATGACACAAATGAGTAACATAGTATATGAATTCCAGTGCTGGTGTGATCCAGGTATGTAGGCCATTCATCTCACAGACTGGAGGATTATTTCAAACAGGATATTCCTTCAGCTGCTCACAAACAACAAGGTACTGTCCACATCCAATCAGTCCATACTTGTAAAACTCACAATGTCCAACATTACACATGATTCTACAATTGCATACCATTTCCTCGATGATTCTGAGTGTGTAACAAAATACACTGGCATCCAATTTATGCTTGCAGTGCAGCAGACAGCATGTATTGGAAGTTACATATTTTAACAGGATCCTGTTTTTTGTAAAAAGAAAGAACAAATGCATCTAATGCACCTGTTTGAACGTACCTAAGGTTTGGTACCTAAGCAATGCTAGGCAGGTAACAGTCAATCATTATTATGCATTCACCACGGCAATACCTTCAAATATCGGTTTATCTGCCAACCAATCTGCACCTTCTTCTTATACAGTACAAATATTGATTTTCAGTTTGATTCATATTCTTGTGAATTGTCCTGATGAGTGTAAGATGAAAAGAAGTTCAACAAAATCTCTGTCTCTTTTCAGCAATACTAAAGTTAAGCATAGTATTAAAGTGAAATAAACACTACACAAATCTGCAAAGATTATAAGTGAGTCAGGGGATTGGATAAAATAAGAACCAGCAAAAAAGTAACAAGCAAGATAATTAAGGGGATGTAGATAAGAGTATTAGAAAAAGCCATCTCAATATAAAATGAAAGAATTTTTACAAGTATTTCAAGAGGAAAGGCGTAACTAAAGATAGAGTTAATCCACTAGAGCCGTGATCTCCAACAAGTAGATTGCAGTTGATTAATTAGTCAGAGTCTCTGGCAGTCAGTCTCACCATGTGCCTGCCTTCCTTCATTATTTGCATCTCTGACAGTTGATCTTACTGACCACCTGCAGTCCCTTGCTGTGCGTGTCTCTGACAGTTGATCTCAATGCCCTCCCACTCTCTCTTCCCTCACACACATTGATCATCATGCTGCAGCATGCCTTCCACTTTGGAAAGCCTAATAGCTGAGAAAAATGCATGCCCTTCACAGGCTGGTTGCATAGTGCTTTGGTTTGGTACAGTTGCGCTATCATTGCAGGATAAAGTAAGTTTACGGTGGCAATTCAAACAAACGATTAAGAAAAGCACAATGCAATCAGATACAACATAGCTTTTATTTTTATTTGTTCACAGGCTGTAGGTATCGCTGGCTAGGCCAGAATTTATTGCCTACTCCTAATTGTCCAGAGGGTAGTTAAGAGTCAACCATTTTGCTGTGGGTCTGGTATAGGTCAGATCAGATAGGCAGAGCAGATTTCTTTCCCCAAAAGGTCATTAATGAACCAATGTTTCTACGCCTCACCATTATCAAAGTGCTCTCAACACCAGTCAGCCAGATCATATCTACTCAGTATTTCCACACACCCCCTACCTAGTACACAGATTTCCACAATTGTCCATTAACTTATTAAAAAGATAATATTTACTTCAATTTCCACAAAAAAATCATCACAGAACTTAAACTCAATAATAATACCGCATTCAAACTTTGCAATAAAATAATTCAATGATTTAATTACAATTCAATGTCCCAGCACATTACAGATGACATGGCACAAAATAACCTATCCACCCACATACCAAAAACAATAATTGTGTAAAAACAGTTGATCTGCTCAAAGACTTGAGCGCAATGCTTTTTTTCCAATGAATTCCTGTTCTCCCACATACCTGCACTTGATGTCCCATCCACTCAAAAGCATGGAATCCTGCTCTTGTTCTCAAAATAAGGAGTCCAAAAACAAACTGCAAGCCTACGCCCCAGAAAACAGTTCTCCATCTTACCTAAAAATAAATCCAACATGAATGAAGTGAGTAGGGGAACTTAATTACAGAACTATCATTTTAGCATTTTTGTCTAAACTGAAAATCTAGCTGACAGCAGGAACAAAACTGAATAAAAGCTCCAAATTAATGCAAATCAAATTGCTTCAGATACTGAATCCAAAATTATAAAAATCGGGTTCAAAGATATTTTTCTGACACAAGAGCTGCATAATTAACATATGGACAACATTTTTTTCCTTCCAAAAAAGTCACATTGGACTTGAAATTTTAACTGTTTTGCACTCTAAAAATGCTGCGAGACTTGCTGAGCATTTCTAGCAGATTCTGTTTCTATTTCAGATCTTTAGCACCCCCAGCACCCAGTATTTTGCTTTAACTCTTTCCTTTAAAATTGTTCAGTAACCTCAATGTCATATCGGTTATTGAATCTTTCATGTTGGAGGCAGTCTTTAAACTCAAATAATGACTCAGATTTCCTTCTGTGACCAAACAGCCTATAGCCTAAGCAATTTGGCCCAACATAAAATTGGTTAAACAGTTTCTGCAAGCAAAGCCTAATGGAATACACAGGCCAAGGTTACCACAGGTCAAAAGTAAACAAGGGCCAGCTCAGATCTCTCTTGCACAGCTAATAGAAGTGCTCGATCTTAACAATGGGAGAGTGGTTGTGAGGAGAAACTCATTCAGAAGTACTCAGCCAGATCAACAGGGAAAGACATTATGTTAGCATATTCCCCAGTTTCAGCCAGACTCCTTAAAACCATGGAGTATTCATATCTCGGAAAGGGGATGGGGACACCTGGAATGACCTGGCCTAACCTCATTGGATACTGTGAACCCTATCCAGAGAATATTCCAAAAGGGCTCAGAAAGGGGGGACAAGGAGGTACACCTGGCGGCCATTCCCTCAGCAAAGACTCCATGCATAACTGAACTTTGTACTAAGATGACCATGAGTGCCCTGTCGACAGAGTTCAGTGAATTGAATCCAGCAGCCCAATCAAGTTCACTGCGTGCTTTTCAGACAGTCAGCTTAGTTTGGGAAAAGTTAACAACTCTTTCAAAAATTAAGTTTTATTAAAATACTTTCAAGTTAAAGACAACTAAGTTGAACCACAGTCCTTTGTCTCATACAGTAAGAACCCCTGAGTAAACACGTTTTAGGGGTAGTAAAATGGTCAAAGTGTCTGTATAGACTATTTCATAGGCAGCTTTTTTATTACACTATTTAGATTTGAAGTCAACTGCTAAAAGTGTACGCATACATTTGAAAAGAATCACCAGTGCTTCCAAATTACTTTTTTAACCAAACAATTGTTTTTTGCTTGCAGTAAACACATAATGACTACATGTATAAGCATAAGAACTTGCAGCAGGAGTAGGCAATTCAGCCCCTCGAGTCTGCTCCACCATTTAATAGCTGATCATACCTAATCTCATCTTAGCCTGAACTCCACTATCCCTTCAACCCATTACTAATTAAAAATCTGTCGATCTCCTCCATAAATTTGTTCAATGTCTCAGCATCCATCACACTCTGGGGTAGTGAATTCCACAGATTCATGACCCTTTGAGAGGGGTATTTTCACCTCATCTATGGTTTAAATGCTTATTCTAAAACTATGACCTCTCATTCTAAATTGCCCCGCATGAGCAAACATCCTCTCTAAGTCTACTTTGTCAATCCCTATTAGCATTTAACGTAACTCAAATAGATCTTCTCTTTCTTCAAAACTCGAGCCACACTGCTCAATCTTCCTTCAAAACACAAATCTCTCATTTCTGAAATCAATCTAGTGAAGCTCCTCTGAATTACCTGCAAAACTATATCCCTCCTTAAGTAAGGGAATCAATATTGGTCACAACACTACATGCACGGTCTCACTAATGCCTTATACAGCTGCAGAAACACTTCCGTACCTTTGTACTGTATGCCTCTAGCAATAAATATCAAAATTCTATGAGCCTTTCTTATTACTTACTGTACCTCCATGCTGGTTTTCTGCGATTCATACACAAGGATATCCATAGCCCTCTGCACTGAAACACTCTGAAATTTCTCTCGATTTAGATAATACATTATTTTAGTTTTCAGAGCAAAAGACTTTTAATTCCTGAGATGGGTTTTCTGTCATTCTTTTTCCATAATTTCTCCTCTATTTGAACTCTACAAAACCAAGCCCATTGAATGTAATATGTTCGTAATGCCCTTTTTTGGCGGATGGCCAAAATCATCAGCAGGCCAAATACATTCTATGCTTGCAAAGTAGCATAGTGGTTGTGTTACTAGACTTGTAGCCCAGAGGTCTGAATGAATAATTCATGAAAATGTGAGTTCAAATCCAAGTCAAGGAATCTTAACTCAGTGTTTAATAAAAGTGACCAATCTTCGCCATCGCCACCTCTAGTTATGTCCTACCTTGCTAAAGGTCAACAATATAGAACACGATTTTAACACTGTCAGTGAAGTGAGTTACAGTCTCAACAATAGGGTCTGGGGAAGCCCTCAATGTTTTCTGAATTCCACTACCTCAGAGTCTGAAGCCAAAAATGAACAAGGAAACCTCCCAATAATTACCACATGCCATCTTTCCACAGTAGAGAAACGTTCATCATCCTTCCATATTGAATACTGTTTGCAGGAAGCATTAAATGAAGTCTAGATATCTTTCAACCAGAATGGCTCAGAAGAATGAACTATAACTGATTTGGTACAGTCCTGATTGACGTAGCCCCTAAACGAAACTTGCAGCCAGTATGGAGACAACTAACATGAAGGAATAACCTTCATGTTCTCAGACTCACCAATCTACCTGTCACAGTTGCATCTCCCTTGACAGCATTGGTAGAAATGATGACCATACAGTCTTCATGAAAACTATGTTCTGCATTTGCATTGCTCCATCTGTCATGTGGTACTATCACTCAGCTATAAAAATGGTTCTAAAAAGTCTAGGGGGTTAAAACCAGAAAATTATTCATAAGGTTTTGTGAGTCAACTGCAGCAATAGAAATGTTTTCCAAAACAATTGTAAACACAGTTTAACGTCCTCTCATTTTCCATTGTCAAGAAGTCAAATAGCCTACCATAGTTCAGTTAAGAATGTAGGGAAGCATGAGAGGATCAGACATGCCTGAAAATGTCAAAGACTGCCAAGCTCGACACTACACACAAAATCACATACATGATAAACAGCAAAAACATTATTTTACTAACAGAACTAAGTAATTCCATGACCAATGGATCATGACCAACGTTCTGCCACCCTGCCACATGCAGCCATGAATATTGATTGGCAATTAAGGAACTGACAGAAAGAGAAGGCAATGCAATCCTTATACTGGTCTTCACCAATTTTTTTTTTTTAAACTGTGCACTGGGAAGCTCTGTACACAGCAATCGCACAGCCTCCACTTCCAGAATCCACTGCTGCACACATACGCGAGGCTTGCACAGCAGTGTGAAAAAGTACAAGGAATGTTGATGTTCACAATATTAAGTATAAAGCACAAATCTGAAGAGCGTAATCTTCTTCAGTCTGCAATGGCAACAGGATGATTCTTTCTCTTTACAGCCTCCTACTTAGGTCTCCACCCAGCAAATTTACTTCACTCGACATAACAAAAAGCAACACTAAGTGCACTGAACCCAGGAAGGATTTTGGCCTGTAAAGACCACAGAACCCCTACAGTGTGGAAACAGGCCCTTCAGTCTAATAAGTCCACACCGAACCATTCCCCTATAACCCACCTAATCTACACATCCCTGAACACAAGCAATTTAGTATGGCCAATCCACCTAACCTGCACATCTTTAGACTGTGGGAGGAAACTGCAGCACCCAGAGGAAACCCAAACAGACATGGGGAGAATGTGCAAACTCCACACAGATAGTCGCCAGAGGCTGGAATCGAACCCGGGTCCCTGGCGCTGTGAGGCAGCAGTGCTAACCACTGAGCCACCGTGCCGCCCCAAACATAGGCTGTTTCACAAACAGTCAGCCTTTTGCTAAGTTGCACAAGTACAGTTATAACATTAGTGTGTAAAAATCAATATGAAAAATTGCCACAGTATGTCTTGTTACCAAAAAGGGAAAATTCAACGCAACCAACTTCCAACTGCTAATGTTATGAGAAATACCCTTCTATGCTTATCTCTTATATGGAACAGAACTAAAAATCAAATGAGACAAATCAATCTGTGTCATAGCTCAGAATTCTTTGATGGTTCATTATCAATGCAGAGCAGGTGTAGCCAAAAGAGATAAAAAAAAAATGCAAAAAAATACTTTAATTATCCTGGTACAAGTTTTGTTAGATCACATTTAAAAATACTGCATCTTGTTTTGGCCCCCTCACAGAATGGGCAATATTGAGGGTATGAGAAAGTTTCAGAACATCACAAGAATGATTCTCAGCTTTAAAAATGCTTAGTTAGAAAGTTAAAAAGCTATGTCAAAACACAAAATTGTAGACTTTGGTAGAACTTTATTCTTATTTATAAATTATATCAATTTGATAGATTAGGGAAGGCAAGGGGTTATGTATAGTACTGGGTTTGATATTAAGCATCTTCAATTCTATAGTCTAGGCTTTTGCAACAATCCGGTAGCTCATGTATGGGCATTGACTCTCTGTAAATCACCAAAAGCTAGTTCTCAAATTGAACTGAGAAAACAGGTTAAAAACAGGTAGTATGCTCAAGTTGATCTCCCTGACTAGACTTTGACTGCTTCAGGGCAATGAAAGAAAGGGTTTTTCCAGATATGTCTCCACATCTCCGGATTACATGTCTACACATGGGTCGCTTTTTTTTTAAGAAATAGCAAGAATTGCAGATGCTGGAGTCAGAGATAACACAGTATGGAACTGGAGGAACACAGCAGGCCAGGCAGCATCAGA